GTATAGACATAGCCATCTCCTCCTTACCCGAAAGCTCAAACTCCGCATCCCGATCCGGATCCGGCTACGGATCGACTAGAGCTACTACGCATCCTAGAATTGGGGGAAGGCGTCTAGACGCCTAAAAGAAGGCATAAAAGACTGTCCGAATCTTCCTAAAGTAGCGGAAGAAAAATATCATAAAAGAAGAGATCTTTCTTTCCTTTCGACCGAGCCTTAACTTAATGGCTTCTCTTGATCAAAAGTCCCATCCTACGCCGCGGACATACACCAACCCGAGTGCCCACGGATTCTATCTTATTTGAAGAGAAGCTATTGAACTTGACGAATAGGCTTTCGAAAAAGAGTTCTTTTGACTTTACCGAGAGGGCTTTCTTATTTCCTCGCTGGAATGACCGATCCGATTCCAAGGTCGGCCGTATAAGTGACCGATTGGCACCCTCCGATTTCGATCTCGCTAGCAACTCCGATAGTTAAGCCAATTAATTCCTATCCTCTCTTTGACGGCCAAGCAAGCAAGAAGGGTCGCCCACCCCGCTCGATGAAACGATCCGGATGACTCGACCATGTTTTATTACTCTCTTCCTATCAACTCGTGTCTCGAGTGATGGTACGAGGCTCGCCCGCGACAACGAGATTTCTTCGTTTTTCTTTCTTTTAAATTAAAATAAAGGTGAAAGCACGAATCTAATCTTTTTTTATTGATCGGATAGAAAAGGGATGTGCATTCGAATCATTGATCTACTCGATTGAGTACGAACGAGGAAGCTCTTTTTAAATGAAAAAAATTTCCATTACTCCGCTCTTCTTGCTCCACCAATAAGCTCCCGTAGCAGTAGTAGCCCCCTGTATTAGCATCTTTGGAAGCCGTGATATGATAAGCATCTCCGTCCATGTGAGGTCGGCGATATGGATGAAATGTATCTCCGTCCGTGGTAAGAATCGAACCAAGCGCTACTTTCAGGCTCTACTAACAGAATTCCCCGCTCTTAGTCATCGCTCTGTGAAGGAGTGGGCGAATAAACATCCGGCAAAGGCACAGCTAGCGCACGAGAGGTGACACCAACCACACTCCTGGCTAGGCGCACTCTCGTCGATCCACCACAAAGGGACGTATTCGACCCTGTTTTGAAGCAAAGCAAGGAAAGGTCGGTAAGGTAAGGCAAAGTAGAAAGTCAGGCTAGAACGTATTGGGGGAGATAGAAAGAAGTAGTTTGACTCTCTATTAGTCGTTATCATCAATTAGTAGCAGCATGCATCTACTAAAGCCAAACAGAACCGAATTAGCACTATTGACAGTACGGCCTGATAAGAGAAGGCCCGAGAAGGGCTGGCTTGACAACGGAAGGTCGAAAGCTAAGTAGAACGCACAGTCGGGAAGGAAAGGCACTTAGGGTTTGATTTTCGGTTCTATAGCAGCTTATGGTATAGATTCGATTCCTGCTTTCAGGAAAGTCCCAAGTAAATAATGCACCTCAGGAAAACCTTCTCCTTCCAGTGACTAAAGTCCCTACTTAATTTAATAAAAAGCTGGATATGAAAAGGTGGATTCTTCATCAGTAACATTATACTACTTTTTGTATATTATAATCCCCATCCGGTTTTTCCTGGGCCTTATATAAGTCATTACGAGGGGCTCGGCCTAAGAGCTATATCGTACCCTCGGAGGAAAAGAAGGTTGGGTTCCAGCACTCGTATCGAATTTGGTTTATCTAGTCTTCCCTTCCCTCCCCCAACATCCGAAGTGGTCGACCGGCTAGACCCGAAGGGGAAGAAAGAATTCGGCATATTATATTAGAAGCAGGGGGATCGGTTATGCTTCCCCGGATAGTTGTAGGTCGAATCGAAGGGGATCAAACACAATTCTCTTGATTGACTTTAGGACTGAAAGAAGCCGGTAGCAAAGGAAATGGCAGCAGTGCTTTATATAACATAACTGCTTTTAGGTCTTCGTTGATCACTTCTGCTTAATTAAAGGACTTCTCTTTCTCGCTTTCTAGGTTTCGAAATAGAATAGTCAGTTCTTGTGAACGACTCCGATGCTATTTCTATTGTTGAAGAAGCCGTTGGAGGAATTAGCGATGCTGCTAAGATCCGCAGTCGATTTAGCTCTTGAGGGAAGAGACAAAGCCTTTTTCTTAATAGGATGATGCTGGATTTCCTACATTTCATGACCGCGATTCAGATAAGATAGATGGAACTACCACGACTACCTCAAAAAGGTGTATGCACGGGTGGAATTCACTTTTTTCTAGTTGGAGAAATGCTTGGAATAGCCTAGTTGCGTACCCAAAGGACCAAGGCAAGGAAGTGGAGAATCGCAGGTTTTATCATCCTACTAGATGTAGTTATAACCGTAGATTACCTGCTCAAGAAAACCGGCTGAACAGAGAAGTCAATCAGAGAAAGAATCCTTAATTCCTTCAACAGAAGCGACAGGTCAGATTGACTTTACCGAGTCAGGCAATGAATGAAATCAGCAAGCAATTCGGTCGATTCTGTCTGAGGGGAAGGATTTCTCCCTTGAGGAAGCTTAAACCTCTATTTAATACAGGTTAGCAGCGGATCGGGAAGGAAGGCCAGTACAGCGTACTTTCATAAAGGCAAGGCGATCTTTTAATACGTTGTTGTCGGAATTCCTAGTCGAAGGGATCGATCTCACAACCGGCTCAGCGAAAGGCGATCCGCACATAGCCGTTAGATTCGATCCGGACTGGAAGATCTTTCCTATGCTATGAAGGTGGGAATGACTAGCCACGGATTCGCAGGCGAGAGAGACGATCCTCCCATTTTTATTAAGTAACAGAGACGAGTTGATATTGGCATCTCTAACAGAAAGAGAGAAGATAGTAAGGATTTTTGATTAGCTTAAAGGTAGCGGGCTGCTACTAAGCGAAAGGTAATTTCTTTTTGAGTGATTTTCGAGCGAAAGGCCCATCTCGTCACCTAAGCCGGAAAGAGAAAGAGTCCGATTTAGATCCCGTGAAAAAGATTCCGCCAGTGCTAGGACCGAGAACTATAGAAGCAAAATAGACCAAAAGCGCCTTTACCCTACCCGTCTTTTTTATTTTTATACCGAGAGGGTCAAAAGCGGGATTCTTTTTAGCAAGTTCATTTGAAAGCCAGTCCATTGGCTAATCTTTTTCTAGCAATCCCTTTTTCAAGAAGGTAAGCAAGCTAGAGGCTAGTCTTTTAGTTCTCTTTCTTTTATTTTAGGAGGAAAGCAAGCTAGGGATAAAGCATTCTCTTTTTGGCTCTAGTGAGCAAGTGAGTTCTTCCCCGTAAGCCGGCCCTAAGTGCTTCCATGTTGATCCATACGATGGAATACGGTTCTTGCCGGCTTGCCTTACTCGCGGTTTCTATTACATCCCTTCAAATTGAAGTCCCACTGTACGACGGTTTTATTGGTTCTACTCGTACCTCCCTAAGGCTCTAAGGGGCTAACGATCTAAAAGTATATTCTACTAAAAGTACTAGGATTCCCTTCGAATATCTAATCTATTATTTTTTGCCTTCCCTTCGAGGGATTTCTAGTACTCTATTCTCTTTATTCAAACCGACCTTTTGGTGGATTGATTTCCTGTTGGTTACTAAATGCTTGTCCATTTCCTTATAGGATGCATATGCGCTCCTTGTCTGCTATAAGTCTTCCCTCGTCTTTCTGGCTCTGCTTCCACGCTAAGCAAGAAGTAAGCCAGACAGTTTCTTGGAAAGAGTCTTTTCGGGGTCCTTTTTTCCCTAGGGGCGGTACTGGGAAAGTCCTTTCTGTCTATATGTTCTATCCCCCCTTCCTTGCATGCACAAGAGAGAGGAAGAGGCTAATTAGGACTGGACCGAGATAGGATTGGTAACGTACTGCCGCCTTGCCCGCACCTTCCTCTAGAGCAGGGGATGATTCTTTTCCTTCAACAAAGATAGAAAAGACCAAGACAGTAGAATTCCTACTAGGAAAGCAGGTCACAAGCAAGGAAAGAAAGGACTTTGACCATTCCCTATCTCCTTGCCTAAAGGATCTTCTCTTCGGCTAACTCTATTCAGTGCACGATAGCTTTTCTCTTCATAAATATCATAAGAGAAGTAGGTCAGCTCTCTCTCTCTCAGTTGTTTAGCTAGTGCCCTTCTTCTTCTTATTAGCAAGGTAACCCGAAAGCGGAACGAAAACAAAGAAAGGCCTAAGATTCTAAGTGAAACATCGTCTGCCCCGGATCTTGTAGAGGGTCTCAGAGAAATGGGGATGATTGTTCAGCAAGTTTCAAATATCTCGGTGTACACCGACGGGAAGTGCAGATGGCGCATAGCTCGGAGCGAGAGCTATGATCGAGGCGGAACTTACCGAAGCGCTTGCCGAGGAGAAAGGGATAGCGATCAACGCACTCTCCGAGTTGAAGGGCGCAAGGGCCGTAGCATTCTTTCTAGGAGGTATCTTTCTCTCTAGCTTTCTTACTAGTGCCGCAGCTAATGCTAACTTCAACGTCTTGTCGTAAAGATAAGAACTAACAAAGCAAGAATCCGAAGCGGAAGGGAAGAACCGACCCGTAAATCGGGTGCCGGAGTTGAAACAATTACTTTAGCGAGAGCCGCTGTAGGTATTGGAAATGGAAAGGTTTTCAGCTTCTTTGATCCTATCCCAATCCGCTCACTTCACTAAGGCTTATCCCGCGCTTGATCGAAAAAGGAGATCCCGACTTCATGACTTGGATTCGACTATTCCCGTCCTTGGGTATTATCTACCTCGCAGGAATCCACACGGTAAAAAGGAAGGCAAGGCAAGGAACTTTTGCCCATGAGATTAGTGCCCTTTCTCTTCGTAGTCCATCCGTCTCATCTCGTTTGCAAGACTAGGCTGTTAGAATGCCCTGTTAGTGGAAGGTTTGACACATCTATTATCTTGCCTTAAGAGGTGTGAATTCCTCTCTTTGTTTATCGCCGATTCCTTGAGTGCAGCCAAAAGAAGTGCTGTTGGTTCGCCTTAGTCCCTTGTTGTCGGAATAACCCCTATTCTAGAATCCACTGTGGCACTTTCGGAAGATGTTAGCACGAAGGTTTTCAGGACTTGAATCAGAAGCATGGAATGCAAGCTCTTCGGGATTAACCTGATTGCCCAGGAGTTAACGAGAATACGGTCTTAGGTGCGAAAGGCGGTGTTCGAGAATCCGATTTGTGTTGATTGCGCATAGCCCTTACTATTAAAGTTATCCCACTAGTCAAAGCATCTAGATCGATTCCTAACAGTTTGCACATGGGTAAGCCCAGGAACTGATTAACCACGGTCTTACAGAATGCCCTCTTTGCAATACAATAATAGGCTGTTCCGGTCCCTTTACTAGTTAGCGCTCCATGGGTCCTTGTCCTTTGTTACCCCTTAAACACGGTATTATGCGCATCTTTCGATGAGAAGGAAGATCTTATTAGCTAGAGACAGCAGACATGATCAATAGTTACGATATCCCACGAGCAGCACAGAGAAGGAACTGCAGATGGACAGAATCCGGCAGCAAATCATGTGGATGCCGCAAATCAGGTCTTTGCAAGAAGGGCTTGTTCACGTGAAGAAGAAGGGCTCTGAAAGGCAACTAGTCTTGGCGAGAGGGATTACTTGCTAACGGTTTTCTCCCTCAGGGATTTCACAACCCATTCTTGCTAACAGCCTATTAGGGATTCAAGTATAGTAAGAGGCAGGCAGGAGAAGGCGAAAGAGAGAAGCCAGGTAAAGCCAAGAAAGATCTTTCTGCTTGCTAAAGAGATTGCTCACTCTCAAGAACAGGATTGCTCACAATATAATATAGGATTGTTCCACGTGAATATTCAGCCCTTGCTAGCTGGATTGCCCAGAGAGAAAAAGATTTATAAAGGGAATAAAGATATATCTTATATAGAGCCCTCTCATGAAAAGAAATCTCTAACTAGCTGGCTAGCTTAACTTCCTACCTGCTATCCCTATCACGCTGCTTGCTAGTGGAACTACAACTACAGCTGGCCTGGCTCGACATGGATTGGATAAAAACTAAGGGGGAACAGAACGTATGGAAGCACTTACTTACCTATAACCACTGGCAACCCCGGGGAAGGAAAGGGAATTGAGATCTTCTACCTTAACCTTAGTACACTGCACACGAATACCGATAATACAAGAAAGCACATCACAAGCTCAATCAGAGAGCGATTATTTTCATAGTAGCTGAATCCTTTAGCTACTAATCTAGCTTTGTATCTCAATTCGTAGGAACTACGAGTAGGTCCGTAGTACCCAAAGCACTCGGAGTGATCCAAGTAGCCGGGAAGGGTCCTAGAAGTGCCTACTACTACACCACACTACACTTGGCTCTACACATTTACGTAGCTAACCCTTGTCCAAAGGCTCGCGCAGCTAAGTGGGCTTCAATCCTTATTCCTTATCCCCATCTTCGCCTGAGCTAAGGAGGCCTTACTTATTCGGGGGAGAGTGGAGCCTCGAGAAGCACTCGTTGAGAGGTCGCTTGCGCCCCTCTTCATTCTCTACGGTGGTTCCAAACCTTTCTTCAACATAGGTGAAAAGAAGCGAGGCGAGAGATGGAAGAGATCGAACACGGGAATAAGAAAGTCACTACGTTACCTTTTTCGTCTCGCATTTCTCATAGAACAGGAAAAAAATCATATTGAAAACGTTCCTAACCCAACCCCTTCCTTCGTAGAGCCGTGTATTGTAAGTGATCCGAACTTGCCCGAGCGAGCCTCCCATAGAGGCAAGTGAAGTTGGTGAGCCGTATGATGGGCAACTATCTCCTGCGGTTCGGAGAGGACTCAGCTGTTAGTTAGTACCCCCTTGGTTTCAGGGTGGACTCTTTCACTCTATTTTATTATATACGCTTAGCGAAAAGAATGTTTTTTGATACACCTAGGACATGGATTCTATATGAACCAATGGATCGTAACAAGTCGTTACTACTAGCAATGACTTCTTCTTTCATTACTTCATCCTTTCTATATCCCTCTCCCTTGTTCTCAGTTACTCATCAAATGGCACTCAGTTCATATCTTTAAGTTCGATCATTGACAAGGTTCAAAGAAAGGGGTGGAAAAGTGACGATTAGTAGGTCTCTAGTTCCAACGCTATGGAGGTTCAACTCCTCCTTAATCACTATCAGATCAATGAAAGTGCGAGGTCATTATCTACTAAGAAAGGTTTTTTTTCTAAAGCCGACTAGTTCACTGTCTTGTCTTAAATCAAAGCATCTCCCTAAAGCCATTGTCTACGGGCTTCATACCATACCGCTCGTGAGGGTGACACACCGTCTAATTATTCTTCCGCTTGCTATCTTCGGGAAGATAGCAAACTATGATTATGATCGAGGTAGTGACCGAATGACCCAATGTATATGCCGTCCTTAGGTTAACGAGTGGATAGAATCGTTTGTTTGAAAGAATAAGCTGCAAGGCAAGAATAGGTTGTTTTCATCAATAGTAGAAGGAATATGCCCGTAAGGAGCCGTCCCGGTCCTCGTTAGTACAAATAGGTCGTTAGCCGAATAGGGTAACCACGGACAGGAGAACAAGTCGGGGAAGGCGACGGTTTTGAATCCACATGGGTAAAAAGGAAGGCAAGGCAAGGAACTTCGCCCATGAGATTAGTGCCCTTTCTCTTCGTAGTCCATCCGTCTCATCTCGTTTGCAAGACTAGGTCTGTTAGAATGCCCCGTTAGTGGAAGGTTTGACACATCTATTATCTTGCCTTAAGAGGTGTGAATTCCTCTCTTTGTTTATCGCCGATTCCTTGAGTGCAGCCAAAAGAAGTGTTGTTGGTTCGCCTTAGTCCCTTGTTGTCGGAATAACCCCTATTCTAGAATCCACTGTGGCACTTTCGGAAGATGTTAGCACGAAGGTTTTCAGGACTTGAATCGAAGCATGGAATGCAAGCTCTTCGGGATTAACCCGATTGCCCGGGAGTTAATGAGAATACGGTCTTAGGTGCGAAAGGCGATGTTCGAGAATCCAATTTGTGTTGATTGCGCATAGCCCTTACTATTAAAGTTATCCCACTAGTCAAAGCATCTAGATCGATTCCTAACAGTTTGCACATGGGTAAGCCCGAGAACCGATTAACCATGGTCTTACGGAATGCCCTCTTTGCAATACAATAATAGGTTGTTCCGGTCCCTTTACTAGTTAGCGCTCCATGGGTCCTTGTCCTTTGTTACCCCTTAAACACGGTATTATGCGCATCTTTCGATGAGAAGGAAGATCTTATTAGCTAGAGACAAGCAGACATGATCAATAGTTATGATATCCCACGAGCAGCACGAGAGAAGGAACTGCAGATGGACAGAATCCGACAAAGCAAATCATATGGATGCCGCAAATCGAGTCTTTGTAAGAAGGGCTTGTTCACGTGAAGAAGAAGGGCTCGAAAGGCAACTAGTCTTGGCGAGAGGGATTACTTGCTAACGATTTTCTCCCTCGGGGATTTCACAACCCATTCTTGCTAACAGCCTATTAGGGATTCAAGTATAGTAAGAGGTAGGCGAGGAGAAGGCGAAAGAGAGAAGCCAGGTAAAGCCAAGAAAGATCTTTCTCGCTTGCTAAAGAGATTGCTCACTCTCAAGAACAGGATTGCTCACAATATAATATAGGATTGTTCCACGTGAATATTCAGCCCTTGCTAGTTGGATTGCCTGGAGAGAAAAAGATTGATAAAGGGAATAAAGATATATCTTATATAGAGCCCTCTCATGAAAAGAAATCTCTAACTAGTCGGCTAGCTTAACTTCCTACCTCGCTATCCCTATCACGCCGCTTGCTAGTGGAACTACAACTACAACTGGCCCGGCTCGACATGGATTGGATAAAAACTAAGGGGGAACAAAACGTATGGAAGCAGCTTACTTACCTATAACCACCGGCAACCCCGGGAAGGAAAGGGAATTGAGATCTTCTACCTTAACCTTAGTACACCGCACACGAATATCGATAATACAAGAAAGCACATCACAAGCTCAATCAGAGAGCGATTATTTTCATAGTAGTTCGAATCCTTTAGCTACTAATCTAGCTTTGTATCTCTCTATCGAGCCATCCGCTTTATGCTTGATCTTGGTAAATCCACTTGCAGCCAATGGCTTGTTTCCCCGCAGGCAATGAGACTAAGTCTTATTCTTTTTTTCCTGGGCATTGATTTATTCCTGCATAGCATTTCTCCAGCAAGAATGATTGAAGGCTTCAGCAAATGATTCAGGTTCATGAGAAGATTGAACTGACATGAGGTAAGCTCGATGTTTTGGGGACATAAGATAAGACAAAAAGACTTAAACAAGATAAGAAACTTGAGAGGATCGACGAACCTGAGAGAGGGATCCTGAATCTGAGGAAGCGACTGGAAGAGAAGATCCTTATGTTCTATTTCTTTATATAAGGAGCTGAGGTTCACAAAGGAGATTTGGTTGACCTGCGGAAAGGCTGATTTTATTGGCTCGACCGCTCACAAATCCAAACTTTCTGGGCGTATTGAACAAGAAGATAGATTCTCTCTTAGATGAAAGCCGGTCTCCTTAATTAAAGGCGGATACAAGTTGCTAGTTCGAGCTTTCTCCCCGCTTCCAACCACCATTAGAGGAATTCTCTTTCCTTGACCGATACGTAGGCAGGGATTGTAATCTCAAATCTCTTTCTCATCTAGTAACGGGAGCTCCGCATAGCTCTTTCTTTATAGACGTCGTCACTCCTGTCCTATTGCTTCCCCGGCTTGGTTTTGGTGGTCATATCTCCGGCCCCTATTGTAGTACATCCGATCTAACTTATTTGACTTGCATCTTTGAGTCGAAAGTCAAGTCCGATCGGTCGAGCAGCTTTCATGGGAACTAGTACTAGTACACAAATCTCGTATGGCTCAGAACGAAGGAAACTCTATCAAAGAATTGCGAGATGCTGAGGGAAAGGATTTCTCTTTTCCGCACTTGATTCAAATCGAATGCTAAAACTGGGCAAGGAGAGGAAAGAGCATATCAGAGGGTGAGGCAGCGAAGACTGATTTCCATCTTAGCACTAGTTCATGATTGACCTTAGCCCTCATCCCTTTCGCCTATCCGAAGAGTCCACTCAACCAAGAGAATTAGGCAAGCCTTCACTACGGGCTCTGCCCCAGTGGGAGGGAGGACGCTTCTTTTCGTCTTTCGGTAGAACCTTGTCCGAAATGCTCTTTTTCCTGGCTTTGAGTTCACTCCCTTTCTTCGTTCTGCTACTCGACTTATACCATGAGCCTATCCTTTGAGCGGAGGCAAGCAAGGGAGATACTGAATCAATGGAAAAGGGATGGCTTAGACATAGGGTTAGAAGTTATATAGATAGTAAAATCAGAGAATGGATGAAATAATTCAAAGAAATCCTGTGCACCGAAAAATTGTACCATTTGCATACTATACAGAAATAGCATTGCGAGGATACATAGGGCTAAGCGGGCCAGTAACAAGACTCCTCGAAAGGGCCATTCCTCTATGTGCTGATACAACTACTTTCAACTTAGTGAATCTGACAGGAAGGGATGTACTGAGGGTTGACCCGGGGTGGACTATTAGATATTCCGAATTGGCTAATGATGCCTCGGAAATTTCTGTAGTAAGAGGGATGCGAGAATATACACAGCAGCAAATCACAGCTGCAATAGTAAAAAAGCGAATAGCTTCTTTGGACATACGACAGTCAACAGCAGCCTATCGCACACTAATCGCGATACTACTAGCTGTGATGCGACTATAGACTTTCTCTTGTGTATTCCCGCCTTAGCCAGACATAATCTTCTTGGAAGGCCCAAAAAGAGCAAGAGCTACTCCTGACTGAACTGAAGGAGAAAGTGTCACTTACCTGCCTGCAGCGGGGAGCGACCGATCAGATCTCCGGTCTTCTAGAGGCATCAAGTCAGAATAGAGAGGTCAAAATACCCTATACACCCTTATGCCCCTTCTTCGAATTGTTTCTCTTTAGCTCTTATTCCTCTAGAAAGTCTCTTCTTCCTCGGCGACAGTCCCGTGTGAGTTCTACTAAGGATACGAATTCTTCCCCAGTTTCTTACTTTTAGGGCGAAGGGATTTAGAAGACCGAGTCAACTTTATAATTAGTACACGATTCCCTTCCTTTAAATAGAGCTACTTCTCGCTCTTCTCTCTGTCATCTGTCAACCGGTAACGGTCGCATCTGTCCAAGTAATCGTCCTGTAGGCGGTCCAATCGCTCATCCGTCCACGAATACCGTCCTACGATGTCCTCTAGCTTCTGTTATGAGTGAGGCCTATTTGATCTAAAAAGAAGCCCTGTGAAGGAGCTATACGGTCCATTAACGTTGCTTAATTGGCCTTATTTATGTGCTCTAGTCGAAGTAGCAAGCCTTTTTCGATCCTTGTCCGATACAGCAGCTGGATCACCGCCTTCCAATCTGCCGATTCAGCTCGAATAAGGCTCTTCAAAAGAAGGTACCAACTCGGGTTCCAAGCGGAACAGGGTTTCATTCATAAGAGTGCCCCTTTCGATCGTAACGTAGACAGTGCAAAGAGGCGGTGGTCTTCTTTCCGCTCTTCGAGGCTCTTCTTTTAAAGAAAGGCATCGATACATACACCCCACAGCCCAAAAGGCCTACGAGGTCGGTAATCGGTGTAGGCTAAGATCCTTTACGAATGAGCCTACTTTTCTAAGTTGCAGTATTTCCAGTGATGGAACACCCTTTCTGCCCACACTCGGTTATAACTTGAGTGAAAGACCTTTTCTTGATTCATTAGGGCGAGATACCCTGGTAGTCCATGCCGTAATATATATCAAGTGTCTTTTCTCGCTTGTTAGCACTTCCTATTCTAATAAATAATTTTTTATATTCATTTTTCTATCTTTTTTCACTCACTTCTTTTTCTTCCAATTCAGAGAAGACTGAAGTGAAGATTAGAATACGAATAAGATCAAAAAGGCCATCATTAGAGCAAAGAGGGAGGGAGCAACTCGCCGAGCGATTTACCCGACCAACTACCTAATACTACGCAGGCTCATCAAACAGCGCTTTTTAGCTTTCTTCAAGATTTGGCCTGAACTGTTCGGCAGATTCCCACGCCTTACGCACCCGTTCGCCACTTTGTTCTCAACTATTCCCACCTCCTGGGCGAGACAAGCTACCTTTAGCTAGGAGCCTCTTTTTCCTTCTGCCCAGCTCCCCGAAAACAACGTTCGACTTGCATGTGTTAAGCATATAGCTAGCCTTCCTTCTGAGCCAGGATCAAACTCGTCTTTTGAGCATGATTGAGCCCTGCAGTGGTAGAACCTAGTGAACCAGACGTACGACTTCTGGACCCGAAGCTCTTTTCTTTCTTCTCTTATGAGATTTTTATCGAGTTGGATGACGCCCCTAAAGGAAAGCCGTCTCTCTCTTATTGAGATGTCTCTTTAACAGCGGAAATGCCGACATCTACTCGAGATGGCTTGACATTCAAGAACAGGAACTTCACTCAGGTTTGGGGTTCTTAATTATAATAAGAGAACCAGAGAATCAAGCGAACCCGGGGAATCCTCTGAGTAAGTGGCATTGTTCCGATGCTTAACGATTAGGATAGGTGCGAAAGCTACTCGACTGCAATGCAAGGAGAGGTGAGTAAACGCTTGACCGATCCTTCTTTTAGAGGAAAGGGGTTGGCTCAGCGCATCTCTCAACCGAGCCTAGGAGACGGGAATCCGACTGAATCCGATGCAACTCAAAAGCTCCAACTGACGCATCTATTGAGACAAAGCAATCTTCTTAAAGTTCAAAGGAGGGGGTAGCGGTTTCTACCAGCCATTGTTAAATCCTTGGATGGGGCATGCGAGCTTTAGCCATCTACAGTTCTCTGTAAGGCTCCAGCTAATAGATATCTTTCTTTATCAGCCCTTCTGTCTTGCGGGTAGGGGGAGCTGTTTTATTGAGGATCTTGAGGAAGTGAGCAATCAAATGAGAAAGGTATTTCTAGTGTAAGTGCTTCTGCCTGAGAGCCAGTTGCTTTCTGTCGTCCTTACCCTGCCAGTCCAAGTTTAATCTCTCCTATTGTCCAAGTAGTGAAAATAGTGGTAATTATGCCTAGTGGCATTGAAGCAGGAGTCTCTTTAGCAAGCTAAGGCTAGCCCGCTCTAATTCAAAATGTGTTCTATTCTAAGGCTCGGACGTGGAGCTGGCTCTATTAACCGATAACCAACGGTTGCTTTCCCACGGACCCGTAAGCCTTCGAGGCAAGTGCATAAAAGAGAGGGGAGGTAGCCCTCGCTAACAGAATCAAAGAATCGAAGTGCAATAGAGTGAAAAAAGGGAAGGCAGGCAAAGAAACCGAAGAGGGAAGTGACTCCATCTTCTGAAGCCGGGAAAGAATAGGCTTCGGGCATGGCCGAGTACGAGAGCTAGTTAGTTGCTAACCGGAAGAGAATCGAAGAATTAAATCCCATTTGTTTTGGTTGCTAGCGAGTGAGGGAATCGCAGATGGGCTTTTGACCTAGAAACTGACCTCGAAGCTCCAGCTTACTTCACTTCGGGGTTTAGCTATGAACCGTAACTTCAATCTCTTCTCTCTCTAGTGCTTCCGGTCGTGAACGTGGCCTTATTTGAACCCAAACCGGAGTTCTACTCCCATTCCATGGAGTGTGATTTTCGTTCTTTCTGACGATAGGATTACAGGAACTTAGAGAAAAGTGGAAACATAGGGAAAATGCGTATAAAACTGATCAGCTCAGGACGAGGCCTGGCGACGAAAAAAAGAGAAAGAAATTGAATTCTGAGGTACGATCCTAATTGCACGGGAAAAGAATTCCAGATTGGGACTCTTCCTTTACACGAAACTGGGACTGCTTTCTTTCCTACTAATGTTCAATCAGTTACTTGGCTTTCAGGAAAGAGACTGTATTGGGTTAAAGTTTGGGGTCGGGTATGCCACATCAGTCTGATATTAGAATACGCGCTAGTAGGGATGAGATTTTAGGCGTTCCCTGCTAGTTCCAGGATAGCTGTAGCACGTACGGAAAGCTCTTAGCAAGCCTTTGAGAGAGCTGGACTATGTTATGTCAATTGAAAGATGGGTTCCTCAAGTCTATAAGAGCCTCTTTTTCTATTTCCTCTCTAGCTGTAGAGGCTTCTTTCTTCAGTAAACCAAAAGAGCTAGCGGTGCTAGAAGCGCTTAAGGGTAGGAAAGACTCAGGTTGTGGTAAACCTGTCTTCCTTTTGAGATGCCCGGCTTATCTATATCTACCCAAGCCGGAAATAAGAGAAGAAAGGGTTTAGAACTACTTGCTTAGTCGCACCCCTGAACGTTAGTTGTAAACTCACTCTTCCTGAAGCAGACAGACAACCAGCTGAATCAAGTTCCGTTCAGTGCTTTAGAGATAGATGGGGAAGCCTGTCCTTCATCGCATCGATCAAAGAAAATCGATAAAGACAGAACAAAAGAAAAGAGTAAGAAATTGAACCGAGACAAGATCTATCTCTTATTGAACTTTTTGAATGAAAGAAAGCTGAAAGAATGGGCTCGCGAGACCCTAGTTAGGGCAGAGCAATAGCTGTAAGGCTACTGATGTAGACTGTTTAGCGGTTAGCTGCGGGTAAGGGAAAAGAGACGGTTTATGTTACGGCAGGAATGTTATGCTGGATTCAACTTTTGATCAGGAAGAGGAGGAAAAAAAAGCTTATGATGAGCATCTATTTGAGTCGATCATTTCGAAGATCTAATTCAAGTTTTTTTTTATGTAGTGGAAACGCCTTACAAATCGACTTTCTCTACAAGATGGCTTTACTGGGTCGACTCTTCTCCCTATGGTCGAAAATCATACAATCGATTTCCTGCTGCGCGAGAAAGTCTAAAATGCTCTACAAAGGGCTGCAAGATAAGGGAGCCACATCACGCGGACCGATCAAAAGCCGTTTTTCGTTAAGATCAATCGATTCCTAGACAAAACGCAGAAGAAGTTTCCCTCTATGCCGGTGCAGCGAGACAGGGAGATCGTATCGAAAAAACTGCTTTTCCTCTCCTCCCCAGGAGAAGGTTGAAGTAGAAGCGGATGAAAGCCTGGCTAGAGCGAATAGAAAAAGTGGATTGTTAAACTCACTGCCCGTCCTCCTTTTACCGGATGCTGATCTAGAAGCTAAAGCTAATCACCGGGCTCTAACCCTTTCAAAATAGAGGATTGATTGAGCCGTCGGATTCGAGTACCTCTTACCGGTTTGCTCATCGCATGCTGGTTATCAGAGTAGAAGCTACATCACTAATCGCGGATGTTTGGGCATCTTTAAGAGTTGAGTAGCTGCCCATCATCCCTTTCTTCAATGAGAGAGGACTCAACCCCCGTACGGTATGTTACGGTACGGCTCGGTATAGCAAGGGACGAAGTAGTGGATGTGATGACAAGGCATCTCCGATAGTTTGAAGGACCCCATCGTAAGGCTTTCAGTCAAATCGCTAAGGGGGAGAGAGAGGGAAAAGCCCTTACTTACTCAGCCTTTGATCCTTCGCGCTGGCTCTGCTATGACTCTTTGCGAACTCCTTGCCCGACTTTACCCGAAGCCTTCCCGGTGAACTTGCCCGATTTCAATTGTCATTATGAAGGGAAAAAGCTCTTGAAAGGGCGCCGATTGAACTCTTATTTATTATCGGACATCATCAAATCTCATTCATCTGATTCAAGTTGATGACTATACTATCTTTCTTCAATGTGGGTACCTGGTCGTTACACCTTGTCAGACTCTACCCCCAACAAAAATAGCTTGAAGAACTGTTGGGGCAGTAGCAGTCGTAAGGTAAGGCCCCCCACCACACTGAAAGTTATTTCCTCAATACAAGACAGGCACAGGTGCGGAGCAATCGAATAGGAATTCAGCCTGCTTTTCTCAATCACAGCCGTCCTGGTCCTATCTTTCCTACTCTTTCCCAACCAAAGAGAAGGATTTCTCTCCCTGGAAAGAATGGTGTCTCAGAAAGTTGTTGAATGCCTCAACTTCGGATGAGGACCAGCTAAACTATCTAATGATGATGATCAGACGTTGCTTCGGATGTGTATGAGAAAGAAGCTTCTCACAGATATTGACTTTTAGATAGATACCAGCATAGTATCTTAATTAGCAGTTTCTTGAACTTGGTTGCAGGTTGCACTCGTAAAGCGAGCGATAGCTTAAGAGAGCAGCGAAAGAAGCCCACGGAGCGGTGATATTTCCTGACTAGCAAGTGGAGGTCCAGGCTCTAATTCAGTCTCTGATGGCGTAGCTGATGTGTCATGCTAGGAAGCTGAGCTAGGGCATTTATTCTTTCTCAACGGAAGTGAAAACCCTCCTCTCCGCTTCTGTCAGCATAGAAGGAAGCTTGGGGGAAAGGTCTAAGTGCAAGCATTGAGTCAAACTGATTCAGGTATAGCAATGTAGTTCTTGTCTCCCTTTCCTACCTAGCGCACTAGAATAGGTAGCATGGGTCAGTAATTAAGTAGTATAGCTAGGTCTTTGAGAGCTGGGTTCGTTTGTCAGTCAGTCTCGGTAGTTCAGTCAGAGCGACATCCGTGGCATAGCTCAGTTCCTTGATGGATAGATGCTAGTGTCGCTAGATCAGTCTAGTTCGATCAGTTGACAGTGGAGTAGTTCCGTCATAGCATGGGTAGCTCAATCATTCAGTACAGAGATGAGAACGCTACAGACATTCCTTGAAGACGAAAAGAAGGTCATGGGCTTTTATTTGTATGCCAGGTCAGGACGAAGGGAAATAAACTAGCCTAAAGTTTGATCGCTGATCGAATGTGAAGTACGAAGCGAGAAAGTGGAAGTAGTGCCAGCGATAACCAAACCCCTCGACCAGCCACTATGTATCCATGGCCATTAGAGATGAGAAAGGGGCTACGGCAGTTCGTTATTCATACTCGTCATTTATATGGTTACAGATAGGAATGGGGTTGCTTGGAAATGGAGAAGCAAAACAACAGCCATTTTTTCTGTTGCCCAAAATCCCTAACTTCTTTTCCCGGGAAAGGGTTTAGATCTATATCAAAATAAATAGCCCTTGGTCAAGGTGACAAGATTCGAACCTATGGCCCTCTGTACCCAAAACAGATGCGCTGACCAGACTGCGCTACACCTCGTCTCACCCCCCGGAGCATATAGATCCACCCGATCGATGAAGACTTGAACCGAACTCGCCCATCCTTTTGGACACAGGGAGGCGAGAACCAATCCGAGTAAGAAACCGCTTTTTTTAGAAAATCTGCCTCCAGCAAGATATGGCGACGCCAAAAAGCCGTAGAGTGCAGGAGCGAGATTTTTTGGCTTTTTCTTTCACTTGAATTTCCAAATCCGGCTCGCTCCCGGCTACGTGTCCTTTGCTTTGGACCCTTCGCCCGCTTAGAAGTGGATTCGAACCATTGACACAAGGATTTTCAGTCCTTTGCTCTAACCTCGCCGAGCTACTCGAACCACTTTCCTAAAGTCTCGTGTTTTATTCATCGAAGAGCGCCCTACCTTACCACTCGGACTAGTAAGGGAAAAGTCCTTGACTAAAATAGATATAGTGGCTTTTGTCGCTTGCTCGTCAAGCTTTCGAGCAACTCTTTCAATCGTCGCCTAATCTCCCAACATGCTCAAGAACCGAGAGGCCGTCCCGGCCCTACCGGAGGGAGCTTGCTTATAGAAAGAAGATAGACCGGTCAAACAAAAAAACGCGAAACGTGCTCTCCGCTCCTAGTCACTAAGTAAAGGCTATTTCTGGGAACTCCACCAAGAGGTTCTTTCTCTCACGCCCGCCTATTCTGCCGGGAGGAAATGGGATTTGAATCCATGATATAAGAAGATTGTATGTCGATTTAGCAAACCAATGCCTTAAGCCACTCAGCCCATCCCTCCAAGTTCTTGATCGGAATTTGATGTGCGGTTGGTTGCCCGAATGGCTATCCGATCCGATCAACTCGCCCGTAGCCGCGCGTACTCTTCCTCTATCTATGAGCGAGACTCTATCCGGATCCGCCCGGCATCCAAGTCATCCCAACCTACCACGGCGAGGCTCCCCACCACACCGAATGATGAACTTTGCGCCTCCGTGAGGGTCGAAGCCAAGCCCGAATGGAATTCATATCTCCTTCGTCTAGTCGAGAAGGGGCTGTGACTCTTCTATTACATTACGGAGAAGTCCATTCTCGTCATGATCGATCTACGTCCTACCGTAGTGCCCCGAGAACCTTAGAAACCAAAGATAGCTTACTTTACTAAAGCAAAGGACTCATTTTTAGATTGCACGAGCTAGCCAGCCCGTTTTCTTGCTTCCACCCGCCTATCCGATCTTTTGAACGAGCCTTCGGCCTTCAAGGCCATAGATATATATCGAGATTCACTCATAAGACAAGTGACTACCAAAATGGTGTATTTCCATCCGACTTCCCTTATGCAAAAGTCGTAATGATTGATTGCTAGCAAGTAAGAATACAGCTTAGCTCCTTTCCAAGACACTGGGGATTGATGAGCCCGGAAAAGATATGCCTCGTTTTCCTTCCCCATCCGAGGGCATAGGAGTTCCGCAAAGAAAGGAGGAAAACAGTACCTGCAAAAAGGTGCCCCGGCTTCAAGCCGGTAAAAGCCTACTCGATTGCCTTATCCCTTGTCTCACCCTACTAAGAAAAGTCAAAGTCTATGCGGCTAGAACTGCTCTTATGAATACCCGGCTTACATGAATGGGACCGCTCTAGAGAGCTCGGACCGAGACCGACGGAGAGCCAGCCTACCCATTTGACAAGTCACTCGGACCCTATAAGGACACGTAGGGCAAGCCGAGTGCAGCTTCCTTCGGAGCCTTTTTGACTCCTACCGAAGCAACCGTCTCAAGTGCTTACTTTTCTTCCCACCTTGGGTGAGCTTCTTGTGTCACGAGTGATGTCAAACCTCCTTCTTGTCTTCTATTCCGGGAAGTGGTATAATAGGCCCCTAAGGGAAGCGGTTTGGCAGCTGTCCGAGCCTTCCATTGGTGTGAGTACGGCGCAATGTCAGTCATCGAATAAGCCTATCATCCTTGGCGCCCAATCCTTCGATCGTTCTAAGCCTTCGATTCGTTCTTCAGTTCATGCTCGTGTAATAGACCCGGCCTTTAGGGGGGCCTCTCCTTCTGTGTCTGGGATTTGTCCTTGAGGTGATGGTCCTGTCCCCTTTACTTTAGGGCGAGTAAAAGCATCGAATAGAAAAGATCTTTTTTTCCTGATTCTTCCATTCTTTGAAGTCTTCGAAAGCGTTCAATCTCCTCCTCGCTTACCTTTATTGGTCACAGCTAAGAGTTCTTTACTTTATGTTGATGTCCTACCCTAGGGTTCCTTCCCTCACTTGTTACTAGCAGCTCTTCCTTTACACCTGAGAACAACCTATTCTTTTTCAAAGCAAACCATGAAGAGTCGAAAGAGTTCACCGCAGAAAGCATAGTCAGAAGAGCTGAACAGCTGCCCAAAAGCTAGCCACCAAGAGAAGAGCTCGGAGTCGACAATAGGAATTACAGCATCATCCAAATGAAGAAAGGAAGCTAGTAAGTTCATCTAGCTTTTCCCGTTCTTGTTGGAAAGTACCTTTCATTGGCATGCAGGATTCACTTCACAGTCAATCTGGTTCTTCTTGACAGAAAGCACTCCATCCTTCCCTTTAGCAGTTAGTTCCTTCATTGATTGATTCTACACCGACTGGAATGAACTGGCTACGACCGATGGGATTGGTACTTGACGCTTTCGGATTGGTTCGCTGGCAAAGCTCTCTTACCGGCTCTAAGGTGCCAACACCAGTTGTATCGGATATAGCTGTATCATGCCTGCTTATGAATGTAATTATGTAAGATGAAGCATGGAAAGAAGAAGCTTCAAAGAAGATGGAAGAAAGAGGAGTCAGTGAACTAGAATAAAACGACAAGTCCAGGTTATTAGGAATCCTTATTCCACTTTTGATTGGTCCTCTCTCTCAAGAAAGAAAGAAAACAAGTCTGAACTTGGAACTCTGTCGAGTATCGATGCTTTCAACTCTTCTCCATTGGTTCGCCTACTCGTATGTGCCGTCTAGGGGCTCATCAGAAGCAAGAACTTCTACCTTGTCAACTAGCTCAAGATTTGAAGGTAATTCGGAGTTCGCTAACATTCACTCACCTGGAATACTTCCACCTATCGGCTCAGAATTCCATTACGCCCAGTTAACTCACTGCTTTCGCGGATTCGCTAAGCAACTGAAAGAAAAAAAAAGAAATGCTCAAAGGTGGTTCTGAGCTTGAATCTTCATATCCTTCAGTCACTCCAGGTGAGAAGTTCGGCTAAGCCGGAAAGATAGATCGAGTTTACCCTCTTGATTGACTTTAGGACTGAAAGAAGCCGGTAGCAAAGGAAATGGCAGCAGTGCTTTATATAACATAACTGCTTTTACTACTAGCCTATTTACTACCCGACTTCTTTTCTTAAAGCTCTAGCCCTTCTTCTGACCTAGAACCTGCTTTCTACTCAGATGTTGCATAGTTCGACCTTGGCAAATAGCCCTTCCTTCTTCCTGGGGAAAGAATCCTTCCTCCTTTCCTTCTTTCTTTACTTCTGGGTAAACCCAACCCGAATGGGAAGAAGAGGGAGGGAAAGAGCGGTCCATTTTTTACATTTTCTGAGGCAGACCTATTTGGCATTTTAGAAAAGGGAAGGGAACTTCTCACCGAAGGGGGCAGTAGGAATGAAGGAGGCGGGAAGCTACCGCTTCTAGAATGCAAGCTTATCCTTTACTTTTTTTTTAGAGCTAGAGCGTACCGCTATTTTAATAATAAGGAAAAGTTTATGGATGAAGTAATCGGAGTGACAAATGGTTACGGTTGCAGAAACCGGAGAAAGTCGAGAACCGTCGGTTACCTTTTGAATCAAAGTAGCGACAAGCCGAGTACTACGACTACAGGGGGGAAGCTTTGCTTCGTAGACAGCTTCGCTTCCTCGTCGCTTCTTTCTGGCGACTAGCTTCTCAAGTGGGTGGCTTGGTAAGCAACAAGCTACCCTCAGCATCGGTAAAATCCCTATCAAAAAAAAATAGGCCAGAATGGTGGGGAAGGGGGCCCTCCCTACTTCAATGGAAAGGGGGAATCGCCGTTTCACAGCCGTTCCTCTACAACTACCTTTCGCCCAACATGATCACAAACGAAGACAGAGAATTGCAGGAGGACGAAATGAACCAACCCACTTGTCCTGATCGGAACGATTGAAGAAAGAAAGAAAAGCCCCTTTCGCCCAGGATCGTCGGAGAACAATGTCGGGGACAGGGTGAGAACCTTCCTTCCGTTGGTTACGCCTTTTAAGTGTCGGTTCTTCCATATTTAGATATGGAGATAGATCCAGAGATAGAGATCTATATCTATCGATAGATAGATATATCTATATTGATAAATAGATATAGATCTGGTTTCAAGATCTATGAACACGAGAGACCCCTAAATATCCATTTGAAAAAAGAGATGAGGGTAGGGCGGAGCCAGCTGAAGGAAGGTCGCCGTTAGCGCCCCTGCAATCTTTCTAAAGTAAGAAGCGCGAAACTTGACTTTGAGAAAGAAGGGCCTTATATTAGAATAAGAATATTAGTAAAGGCGCGTTAGCCTATCTATAGAAAGGGGCTTCTTCAAATATCCCATAAATAAAGCAGGGGCTTCTCATGTAGTTTTTAGGGGTGCGTAGGCGCAAGGCCCCCTATACAAGGGCGCGCAATGACTTTCTCTGATAGGGGCTCGCTTCTTCAAGCTCCGCTTGCTGCTTTTCATTTTGATAGGAGTAGTAGGTGCTTGCTGCTCGCTTGCTGTCTACTAAACGAGCCTTCACTGCCCGCCCGGCCCCTCTCTTTAATCTTAAAAGTGAAGTCAAATCAATGAAGTGAACAGCCCAACCTCTTTGTTTGAATTGAAGCTTTTCCAGAAAGCTTCTACTTGTTGAAGCTTCCCCCAAAGCACAACAATAGACTTGCAACTATAGTATAGGAAAAAGCTTCTCAGCGATCATAGGGGGGAAAGGATCTGATCGTAGATAGAGACTGAAACCTGTGCGGGGGTAGGGGCGGATGTAGCCAAGTGGATCAAGGCAGTGGATTGTGAATCCACCACGCGCGGGTTCAATCCCCGTCGTTCGCCCAAAAGGAGATATTCAAGAAGTTTCTTGCTTGCGTCCAAGTTACAACCGAAACTACTCCTGCGGAACTTGAACAGGCCCTACACGACTCGGAGAAAGAAAGCAATGACAAGACATATAAAGATGGCCAAAGCTAGGTAACCATCTTCGATACTAATAGCCATAATCTGAGCATGAGCGTTCGTCGCGACTACTTATATTTCGATAATATTAGCCTTCGCTCCGATACTTTTTACTTTCTCCTTTGTTACATAATTCCCTATACAGAGAGTGAGCTCCCTCACGGTAAGCCCATTAGACTAAGAGATATAGCGTGCATTAGCGTTCGCCCATATTATATGGTAGTTCCATGGTTCTAAAGATGCATGAGATGTTCGCCTTTAGTAATAAAGTAAGGTAGGTTGACCAAAATGAGGATCCC